ACATTGATTGCTTTCCAAAATCCACACTTTGGTCAAAGCTGGTCATGATACCAAGGAATGTTTTCTCAAAGGACTGACTGACTGACTGAGTTTGGTTTTATGCCGCTTTTAGCATTATTCCAGCAACATCACGGCGGGGGACACCAGAAATGGGCTTCACACATTGTACCCATGAGGGGATTCGAACCCGGGTCTTCGGCGTGACGAGCAAACGCTTTAACCACTAGGCTACCCCACCGCCCCTTTCTCAAAGGAAAATAGCACTGTGGAGAATTGTTTTAAAATAAACCAAAACCCCAAACTCTCCTGATGAGTAGATGCTTGAACCACTAGGCTACCCCTCACCCATGGTATGTAACTGAACAAGAGCATGTGGTGATTGACACAAGGGCCACCTGACCAAGACATAGTCTAGACAAGGTAGCCTGCCGTTCCTCAGTGTAAGGAGCAGGTCTCTGTGTGTGGCACATAGTTAGTTCTGGGGAATTAGCCAATGACAGTGAGAGCAGTGATAAGTATCGCTCCCTGCTGAGTTTGTCTGTAAGCCTCACCATCAGTGCCTGCATCCAACATATCTACACCAGCCAGTTCACAGAAGGTTCACATGCATGTCATCATCATCACCTCTAGGCTGCATGTTATCTCTACCTTATCAATTAAACAGCCACAGGTTATTTCTGGTGTAAACACTACATGTGCAAGTATACAAGATAACACCACTTAATTCAGATACAGTTCAAGTTGTCCTATGTTCCCTCTTCTGCTGGGGGTCTACACATATGTAGTGACAACCCCCAACAAACACTTGCTTCTGTAAGCCCCACCGATTCAATGTTTCACCTATGACCCCTTCTGCTTATCATCATGATCACAGCTGGAGCCAGGCAATATTTAACATTGAGAAGGGAGGGTGGGGGAGAATTGGATGTTTGTGCATATTATTGTTACTGTTGCCATTTTGACATAGATTCTTGAAACATTGCAGTTAACATCAATTCAAAATAAACAATTGACATTGTGAAGAAACATTATATAGAAAAAGTGCTCAGGTCCATGTTGCCTGAAAACAAGGAACATTATTCATGGCCCAAGCATTCCATATCACATCAGGTTATTTTGTACACAAAGTGTAAGGTGGAGTTTAACGATGCGTTCACGCTGACCCAACTCACACTCTCAGACAGTGTTCACTGACCGGAGATGACCAGGCAGAGTCACAACAAGTACCAGGTCCTGACATGCTTTGGTGTCGTGCAGTTGGGGGCAGACTAAATGACCTTCTGCTTTCTGAGAACACTTTTTCAAGGAACGCCAAGCACTGTTCTTCCCACTTTTCCCATACGAAAATAAACTCTTGTCATCAGCGAGACAAGTGAATGCTAAACAACTCTGCTACTGTGTCATTCAGGTTTTCAAAACCAGGACTTCTACAGTGAGAGCATATATATCTCTGTCAGGACTTCTATAGTGAGAGCATATATACCTCTGTCAGGACTTCTATAGTGAGAGCATTATATACCTCTGTCAGGACTTCTATAGTTAGAGCATATATACCTCTGTCAGGACTTCTATAGTGAGAGCATTATATACCTCTGTCAGGACTTCTATAGTGAGAGCATTATATACCTCTGTCAGGACTTCTGTAGTGAGAGCATTATATACCTCTGTCAGGACTTCTATAGTGAGAGCATTATATACCTCTGTCAGGACTTCTATAGTGAGAGCATTATATACCTCTGTCAGGACTTCTACAGTGGGAGCATTATATACCTCTGTCAGGACTTCTACAGTGGGAGCATTATATACCTCTGTCAGGACTTCTGTAGTGAGAGCATTATATACCTCTGTCAGGACTTCTGTAGTGAGAGCATTATATACCTCTGTCAGGACTTCTACAGTGGGAGCATTATATACCTCTGTCAGGACTTCTACAGTGGGAGCATTATATACCTCTGTCAGGACTTCTACAGTGAGAGCATTATATACCTCTGTCAGGACTTCTACAGTGGGAGCATTATATACCTCTGTCAGGACTTCTACAGTGAGAGCATATACCTCTGTCAGGACTTCTACAGTGGGAGCATTATATACCTCTGTCAGGACTTCTATAGTGAGAGCATTATATACCTCTGTCAGGACTTCTACAGTGGGAGCATTATATACCTCTGTCAGGACTTCTACAGTGGGAGCATTATATACCTCTGTCAGGACTTCTACAGTGGGAGCATTATATACCTCTGTCAGGACTTCTACAGTGAGAGCATTATATACCTCTGTCAGGACTTCTACAGTGAGAGCATATACCTCTGTCAGGACTTCTACAGTGGGAGCATTATATACCTCTGTCAGGACTTCTACAGTGAGAGCATTATATACCTCTGTCAGGACTTCTACAGTGGGAGCATTATATGCCTGTCATGACTTCTATAGTGAGAGCATTATATACCTCTGTCAGGACTTCTATAGTGAGAGCATTATATACCTCTGTCAGGACTTCTATAGTGAGAGCATTATATACCTCTGTCAGGACTTCTACAGTGAGAGCATTATATACCTCTGTCAGGACTTCTATAGTGAGAGCATATACCTCTGTCAGGACTTCTACAGTGGGAGCATTATATGCCTGTCATGACTTCTATAGTGAGCATTATATACCTCTGTCAGGACTTCTACAGTGAGAGCATTATATACCTCTGTCAGGACTTCTACAGTGAGAGCATTATATACCTCTGTCAGGACTTCTACAGTGGGAGCATTATATACCTCTGTCAGGACTTCTACAGTGAGAGCATTATATACCTCTGTCAGGACTTCTACAGTGGGAGCATTATATGCCTGTCATGACTTCTATAGTGAGAGCATTATATACCTCTGTCAGGACTTCTACAGTGAGAGCATTATATACCTCTGTCAGGACTTCTATAGTGAGAGCATTATATACCTCTGTCAGGACTTCTACAGTGAGAGCATTATATACCTCTGTCAGGACTTCTATAGTGAGAGCATATACCTCTGTCAGGACTTCTACAGTGGGAGCATTATATGCATGTCATGACTTCTATAGTGAGAGCATTATATACCTCTGTCAGGACTTCTACAGTGAGAGCATTATATACCTCTGTCAGGACTTCTACAGTGAGAGCATTATATACCTCTGTCAGGACTTCTACAGTGGGAGCATTATATACCTCTGTCAGGACTTCTACAGTGAGAGCATTATATACCTCTGTCAGGACTTCTACAGTGAGAGCATTATATACCTCTGTCAGGACTTCTACAGTGAGAGCATTATATACCTCTGTCAGGACTTCTACAGTGAGAGCATTATATACCTCTGTCAGGACTTCTACAGTGAGAGCATTATATACCTCTGTCAGGACTTCTACAGTGAGAGCATATACCTCTGTCAGGACTTCTACAGTGGGAGCATTATATACCTCTGTCAGGACTTCTACAGTGAGAGCATTATATACCTCTGTCAGGACTTCTACAGTGAGAGCATTATATACCTCTGTCAGGACTTCTACAGTGAGAGCATTATATACCTCTGTCAGGACTTCTACAGTGAGAGCATTATATACCTCTGTCAGAACTTCTACAGTGAGAGCATTATATACCTCTGTCAGAACTTCTACAGTGGGAGCATTATATACCTCTGTCAGGACTTCTATAGTGAGAGCATATACCTCTGTCATGACTTCTATAGTGAGAGCATTATATACCTGTCAGGACTTCTACAGTGGGAGCATTATATACCTCTGTCAGGACTTCTATAGTGAGAGCATTATATGCCTGTCAGGACTTCTGAAGTGAGAACATTATATACCTCTGTCAGGACTTCTATAGTGAGAGCATTATATACCTCTGTCAGGACTTCTACAGTGAGAGCATTATATACCTCTGTCAGGACTTCTGAAGTGAGAGCATTATATACCTCTGTCAGGACTTCTACAGTGAGAGCATTATATACCTCTGTCAGGACTTCTATAGTGAGAGCATTATATACCTCTGTCAGGACTTCTACAGTGAGAGCATTATATACCTCTGTCAGGACTTCTATAGTGAGAGCATTATATACCTCTGTCAGGACTTCTACAGTGAGAGCATTATATACCTCTGTCAGGACTTCTATAGTGAGAGCATTATATACCTCTGTCAGGACTTCTTTAGTGAGAGCATTATATACCTCTGTCAGGACTTCTACAGTGAGAGCATTATATACCTCTGTCAGGACTTCTGTAGTGAGAGCATTATATACCTCTGTCAGGACTTCTACAGTGAGAGCATTATATACCTCTGTCAGGACTTCTATAGTGAGAGCATTATATACCTCTGTCAGGACTTCTACAGTGAGAGCATTATATACCTCTGTCAGGACTTCTATAGTGAGAGCATTATATACCTCTGTCAGAACTTCTATTGTGACATAGTGAGAGCATTATATACCTCTGTCAGGACTTCTATAGTGAGAGCACTTCTCTGTTCCCTCACCTTGAACTGTCTCTTACCATTTTCAACATGTCACTCACATGCGTAGGTTCAATATTTTGAGGGGCGGACGGGTAGCCTAGTGGTTAAAGCGTTCGCTTGTCACGCAAAGGGCCCCGGGTTCCATTCCCCACATAGTTACAATGTGTGAAGCCCATTTCTGATGTCCCCCCTGTGATATTGCTGGAATATTGCTAAAAATGGCATATAACTAAACTTACTCACTCAATCAATATTTTGAATATAGATATCTATCAGTCTGTTTCAAACCAGTCTTACATTTGTAATTAATTTTACATCTTCGAACAGGGTACTTAATATACAGTCAGACACAGTGTTGGACAACGGCAATTCATGCACATCTTCCTTTGTTCAAAAAGCACAACAAAACTTGCACCAGAAAATTTACTCAGAGGATTTTAATCCTTGCAAGTTGTGCTGAAACAGTACTTGTCCCAATTGTCTTGTTACATTTCTAACATTATGAAATGTGCTGTCTACAGGCAACTTACTAGTGAACTGTTCCCGCTGGACATTTCCACCCAGGGCTCCGCTGAACTCCTTCCCAGATCCACCGGCTCCCTTTCCGATTGACCGGAACCCATAGCCAGAACCTGGGGAGCAGAACACGGTACATGTATTACCATCACATACAAATATTACATAATCATTTAAAAAACATTAACCAATGACATGGAGGTTAAGTCAGAATATTAACAACATCCTATGCAAGTAGGATAATACCATACAGTTAAACCATTCAATGTCAAACTACCAAATAATGTGCCATGATAAAAGTATTTTTACATGTTGATACTAGCACACTGGAAACAAGTGAGATTTTCCTACCTGACACATGCGCACACAAGGTATGGGTAGCAACAAAACATTATCGACACAACTTATCACAGTTGACAAGGAGGAGGTGGTGAATGGAATTGGGTTTAACGTCGTGCTTGAGAATATTTTGCTCATATGACGACGTGAATGCATGTGTATGTGTATACTGACTCCGAGCCGACCAGTCCTTGTTGTACCCATTAATGCCGAGCGCCAGGCAGGGACCAACAAGTACCATATTTAAACGTCTTTTGGTATGACGCGGTCGGGGATCGAACACGCGACCTTCCGCACTCCGGGCGGGACGCTCTAACCACTACACCACGGAGGCGGTCGACAAGGAAGAAGATTTCTATAGTGAGATGGCAGATTTCTGGTTATTTTGTTACAGATATTATGCAAGAATTATCCTCTAAATGTACACTGTATCATGCACACCTCCCAAGTTACAAAGTGAACACAAGAGAAACACACAGGCTGACGTAGAAGCTTCTTGCATCAGCCAGTTGCCATAGCATCTCTTCTTATCAATATATCTAAAAGTGTATAATATATATGGTCATTTTAAACTTGATAATTAGATATTCCTCCCACCATGCTCACTACAGAACACCCCTATCAGTGTCAAATCATCTCATTCCACCAGCATCTTCAGATGAAGACAACTGTTGCCCACTAGTACCATTACATGTTGGTAACCTAGAACTTTATTGAAAACAAAGTATGTTTATCTCTATGCTCATAATATTCAATCATTTTGCTGTTATTAGAATCTTGATTCCTATCCAGCTTATCATCCAGCATGGTTATATCCTGAAAAACAGAACAGGCCACTCTTTTTGCGACTTGTTTTATGAACCTATAATGACTAGTTCCTTGTTGTATTTCCAGTCTATCATCCTGCGGGTATACTTGAAAGTAGTGTAACCAGTTACTTTACACTGACACACACCTTACTGCAACCCACTGATATATCAAGAAGTATGTGTGTGATATACGCATTGCATTGATAATGATATATCTTTATACACACTTTTCCTGATCATGTTGAGGAAATATCTACACATATCCCATGATTGTACTGATATATCAACATGTACACATATATCGTGAGGGGAGGTGGGGTAGCGTAGTGGTTAAAACTAAACTCACTCACTCACTCACTCACTCACATATATCGTGTCATCATATAGACGTATCTACTTGAACACAAATATCCTGTCATCTAACCAAATTATCTACAAGATATGTTGTTGTTTATTTGTTTAACGTCACACTCACTGATATTCAAGCTATATGGCTGTAGTCTGTAAATAATCGAGTCTGGACCTGACAACCCATAGCGGTCATCGTATCCATATTTCTACAACTCTTGTTCTGATCCACGAGACATAGAAGCACCTACTGCTGCAGAACACAGCTAATGAAGACAAGAAGTCTGAACGGAAGACCAGGCACTGATGTAATTGAGCTTCTGCGGGTAATAAAGTGTGTGTTATGATAATTATAGAGTATACTATTCCCCAGTGTAGAGGTGTCGACATGTTATAGCATTACCTGGGCTTCCGGCCATTCAGGTGAAAGTCAGGTAACACACTCTCGGGATACACGAGGCATCAACTCAGTCATCAGAGCTGTTCGGTATTGTTCATCGGAATGCAATAGCTTCTTGGTAATTCAGACATATTGTTTTTCGACAGGTAAATCAGATTATGCAGCAGGGCAAGTGCAACTAATCAGGTTAACTGAGATAGGATGAGAGACAGTGAATTTGATATAAACACTGCTTTGATCAATATGACAGCACGTCTGCTACACACACTGAATGCTGTGGGAGTGTGTTTAGTGTTTACAGTATAGGTTGTGTATTATCATTTACATTGTCTTAACCAGGAGCCCCGATTCTGAGGGGGAATCTGACTGGCCAATAGGAGGGACGTAAAAGGGACATAACTCATAATAGCCACAGGTGGAACTACAGTCCAACCACAAAATTCCCGCCTAATTCTGGAAGGGTGGAAACTTGACTTTTATAGTCAGTTAATACCCTTGCCTCAAGATGATATACATTCAAGCAAGTCAGTGAGTCGGACCCTTCATTCCACTCCGCCGCTTCTTATAGTACAGGTTGCTGGGGGGGGGCTCTGTTTTACCCAGAATCCCTCAAGGTTTAACCCAAAAAAATCTAAGTCAACAGTAAAGCAGGTTCTGGTCTTTCACAATTGATTGCGATTAAACCTTAAATGATTTCTACAAAATGATATTTATAAACAATTGTTAATGGAAGAAAATATTTTAAAATTTCATGACTTATAATAGTCAGTACCTTGCAAATACCCCTCTGGTGCCTGGAGATTGGAATGTATTCCTCCAGCACCATGGAAAAGGAAGGAGATGGGCTTAACATGTCAAAATATATGTCGGAGGGTTATCTAGACCTGCTCAGAAGCTGATATTCTACCAATGTCTGCAGCAAGTGTCAACAAAACTCCCCAGATTGTATTTACAAATCTCCTATTTCACACAGTGATAACTAATGCTTGTGTTAACTCCTTTGAGCACTGGTATTATCAGGAAATGCTATGAAAAGATCAAGGGTCATTTTCTGGTATTCAAAGTCAGAGGATCCTGGCAAGCTAATGGCCTGATGAATTGACCAATAGACAGAGGTATTATGTATGATCAGCATAAATACAAGAATGTTTGCATCATATCTCAGGATATAACATCATATTACAGGAACCTCAACATGATCAGTTGTGAAGTTGAAGCTGTGTAATTGTATGTTACTCTGTATTACATGCAAGTTAAACATACATGTGCAGTACTTTCTATGATCTTCAATGATTCTATATCATCAAGGAGTTATGAAATGTTATATACAGTATATGAAATAAGGCTCATCCGACCCCCTGAGACGGGCTAGATTTCTGACGGAAGGTCTAAATTTACAGCTAGCCAGCCCAATGGTCTGGTAAAAACTTTAGATGTTCCATACATCTGAGTAAATTCACCAAATCTTGGTGTCTGGTCTGTAACAGTTTGAAGTTACCAGCCCTGACATCTGGCTGTGTTTTTGACTTATTTCATACACTGTTATATACTTTTGTATATGAAGTGATTGAAAAGTACCAGGGATAAGTCAAAATGGTTCAAGTTTAGATGACTTGAGAAAGGCACAACCCATTTCTGACACATCTGGTAAGTGTGTGAAACATATCCTGATCTTTTATCTGTTATACATGTAGAATGCAGCAGACCTGTAGACGTGGCATAAAAACTTAATCAGTGTTTTAACTTGTTGGATACTAGATAGGAGCTCACGGAGAATAGAAAATAATACAAAACATGTCAAACGAGTTCTCTCTCAGTATCCTTCATGTTAATATCAGTAAATGGTGACTGTAAACCTTCATAAGACAAGGAAGATACTTTACTTCAACACATTCAACACAAGCACATCTTCATCTCCAAGAAACTTTAGGAAAATAATAAATCATAGATTTGACATCAATTTCTTGTTTGGAAACCTCTCCAACCTATCACTGATGCAGCAGACAAAGGAGTAGATGTTAACCTTCTGTTATATAAACAATGATAAAAAGGTACTTTTGAAAAACAGTCACAAACAACAAGACTGCCAACTTTCCCAAACATTCAACACATGTTTTTGACTTCTATTATGTAACTAAAAATGCAGCTGCTGTAACCATGGCAACTAGCAACCATGATAATATTAATACATTTTACAAAGCTCTGATTTTCATGTCACATGCTTTTCTTAACATTTTAATTGAGGGAAACTTCTAAAGGCAAAAAGTATTAAACAATAATTACATAATGAAGTTCTGACTGAACGAGGCTCAAATGTTGATTATGTTGAAGCCGGTCCAAATAGTTCCGGCAAACAGATGTGACAAAACCCTTTCCACATCCATAAGAAATCTCGATTGAGTCGATTGTACAGTTCTGACTATCATGAGTACGTATTTGTTTCAACAAGAAACAAGCCCAAGGTTTCTCTGGACAACAAAATATCAAGTCAAACTATTTTTGCACATTTCAGTGACATTAATGATGACTTATTTACATTCTTTTTCACCCCCTGGTCTGATAAAAAAGAATCAGGAAATAAAAACAATGCCATGTGCCTCATACTCATGTCCCTCATGGGGACATGGACTTTCTTAATTCCTGCTTTAAATTATGTTACTGTGTTTTGTTTGAAGTTGGCCTTTTCAAGCTTAATTAAATCTGTAGACTCAATAACAGCTTGAACCTGGATGGGATGTGGGGGATGAAGCTTGGATCTGGAGTAAATGTTGGTGCTATGACCTGACAGTGACCTGACAGTGATCTGTATTGATGCTACAGGCAACAACAAACAAGTTATAAACATGGGCTGTTTATCATAACATGCTACCACATCAGGTCTTCTAAAACCACTATAGTCCGTTTGACTTCATTTTAGACTGATGAATTGTTCACATGAAATCGACAGGCCAACTTTATTCGGGTGTCCAAAATTATGAAACAAATCATGAGAGATGATCTGTCGATTTCATGTGACTCTGCAAAATTTGGTTTTGTTGCAATTAATAGATTTTGTGTTAGTGAGCAATTCAACTTTCTAAAATGAAGTCAACGGACTATAGCATCCTTCAAAATATTCATGTACTCCAAAATACAAGTCTCAGATCATGATAATTTCACAAACCAAACACACTCCTCTAAATATTAACATACAACATGTAAACAAAACATGGTGAACTTCACAATGTTTAAGATTTAACAGAGATTTATACTACAAAAATAAATTCAAATAGAAAAACCCAGATTCAACAGATTTGTGAAATGCTAAACATATCTGTGTATCATGTTATTCTCTCACCAAACTGCCATATTATTGCGAAACATTCCTTAATAATTCAATGGCAACTGACTAGCCAGTGCCAATGAGTCGCGTCACTTCGTTGCAATCATTTCCATCAGCCTAAGAACATTTACCTGGTTCTTGTAACCATGCATTAAATTACAGTCAAAGTGTAGCTGTATCTATTATCGATGGCAATCATCCAAGCCCCAACATCAGCTGGGATCCATCCACTGGCTGAGAGGAAATGACTTTCAGTCCTACTTAAACTGTCTTTACTGAGACTAAGCATTTTCATAGAGAGTTCATGGAATATGCTCAGACAGCAGGAGGCTTTCACCTTTAAATGATTTTTTATGTGATGTTTTACTACAGCAACAAGAATGCTTTTTTTTTTAAAAACCCATTAGAACACATTTTTATGATATTTTACAAATGCAAAAGAACCACTAATTTAGAAACTTTAGAAAAGATTAACCAGTACAAAATGGCAGACAGCTACTCAATACTGCCCAGTCTACATCTACAGCTTGACCTATCATGACTATAAATACAGATTAGGATTTCCTTACGTTTGTCAATTTAGCATTCATAACAAAACTAAATATGAGATATACATACTATGTTTTCAGTGTACTGCTAGGTTACCTGTAGATTTAACTACTAAGCATGAATCTTGATTTCTAAACTGTTAGATATATTTTGGTAAAATCTATAGTTCCACACTGTTAACACAGTATGTTTATCTCTAGTCTACTTTAATGTTAGTTAACATATTGAATGAAGCAGAAAAGATGAGTCAGCTGTTTTCAATGTTGTGTCTGGAAACTCGGATAACAGCCATTGAACAAAGTTTGCTACTATGTAGGGTCACGCAGCAATCCAACTAGCTCTTTCAGCATCTTCGATCAGAGGTGGTTATAGTGTGTTGATACTTTTTACTGACCAATCAGAATCAAGCTATATAATTCTTAGTGTTTGGCCCAACCACAGGCAAATTGTAGCGCACTTAGGGTTGCGCAACAAAGAGAAAATGACCAGTCTTCCCGTATGCGAGCGAAGCGAGCAAAGGTTGGCAACATGCTTTCCTCGCTTCGGTTCGCAAAATATTTTTAATATCAAAATAAAATATCGCCATCATCAAAGGTAGACACCCATTTCCTCACAGAGTTGTGCTCTCAGATTTCCAACATCATATTTAATAATTACTCACATACAATATATTTAATTCAACATTTTAAGCGCCACTCGTGGCATGTCAAATCGTTCTTCCCCTCCATTACCCCTGCCAGCTTCCGGTTCAACGGAGTGAAGGAACAAGAATAAGCAGAAATTAAACACAAAAATTATTATTATGACAATTTTGGTTAAAAAACAATCAGATATATTTAAGAGACTTAAATTCAAATGATAATTACATATAATGAACGTTTGCTGAAGGTAAGTAACCTTGAAAATGTACAAAAACTATTCATCACGTTTATAGGCACTCCTGTTTGAATTTTTTTTAATCCTCTACAATGATTTTTTTAAGAATGCCATTTCAATATCTATCCTTAATTTTTCATAATTGAAGTGCAATCATAGTGGTAATTAAACATCAATTATTCACCAAGTGTACATGCAAACTTTTTCTACCCCATGCACCACAAACCCTCACAAATACCATAAAGGATTTCAGTGACTTCCCTCTGTTTTAGTGTGAACGTGTTTGTGTTGGGAAGTAAAACTGAAACAGGTCGCCCAAAATGATTGCCACCATTACATGACCCTATCTTACCAAATATTGCAATAAACACAGCAACCTCCAGTGAGTGACCAAGTGAGGGATTATCTTGGATTCCAAAAAAGGAGCTTCGTCTGTCACATCAAGAAAAATATTGTGATATTGTCCAAATTTGGATTGTTTTCAAAGATCATATTTTCTAAATCTGAGAAATTGGGAAATTCTAATTCAAAATTGGGAATTATCATTGTCATTCACTACAGACTTGGGCCTCTGCAAAGATTTAGATAAATCCTTGAAAGTTATACACAATGATGCTTCATGTATTTTCCTTGAGTAACACTTAGTCACTGAATATATATAATGTTGATAGTAATAAATAAACCCATTTACATTGAAAAGGAGCCCCAGTGAGTTGGGAGATTCATTCTGAATGCTTTAACATTGCAGGGAGGGCTGGGCAGTGGGGCAAATACCGGTAATGTGGTTCAGGGACTGTGAGACAGACTACCTTTTCCCATCAAAATCATGAAAGAAGAAACCTGAAGTTGGCTTGTCATACTGGACTTGACAATCCAACTTTGGTCTTCAGGATGATGTGCTAAGTCTTCAACTACTGGGATATTCCACCTGCTTACCATCCTTTCACATGGTGCCAGTCCACACTACTGCCTGTAATCTAGAGTCATGGTAGCGGCTTGTATTATCAAATTGTACACCATCAAAGTTCAGGAATCTTAGTTATTGTAAAAAGCATGTTTTCACTCACCTAGATATTTGGCCTCTGATGGCAGCACAGTGTCAAAGGGCTGATATGGGTACAGATTGAATGGATCCCCTGGCTTGTTGAAGATGTCATAGTTGATAAACTGGGTGTAGTTTCTGTAGAACCTTTCAGAAGGGAACCTGGCTTCAGTTGGACCAAGCACTTCATCAGTCTCTGGCTCCATCTCTGGACCATTGAACTTGAGGGGAATGAAAGAAGCATTGAACACACTTGGAGTTGGCTCTTCTCTCACTGGTTTGGCTGGAATCTGAAGTCTTGTTCTGAAAACAGCTAGCATTGAGTCAAGAATCCGTTTTGAGCTACTCATATACGTTTCCCACAGGAACCTCCCCTGTTGTCTCATCTGAGAGATGTCACTATCAGTAAAGGTTCTCAAAAAGAAATGAATCTCTGTCACCCTGGACACTGGCAGAAGGATCGCAGCAAGTCTCCAGTCGAGGATTTCACTAAATGGAAGCTGCACATGATCACCCAGTATGATAGGAATGGCACCATATTTTAATGATTCATACAAACGAATCTGAAACACAGTTGTTGATAGCATTGTGAAGTTTGTTGGTGGCAACACAAGGGAGAATGTTGACTGAGAGAGTATCTTGCTTCTTTGTTCACTGTTCCCGCAGAGACCCCATTCAGCATAGCTACCCTGAGGCTGAGGTCCATCACATGAAAACTGCAGGAACAAAGTGTCAGGGATCTGATTATGCATTTTCTTCAAGGCAGCTACGACTGATGCCTCCAGGGACACGAGTCTAGATGCATCAGCTGCAGCTTTCAGAGTCCGGACCTGGAAATTCTCATCTTCCCTATCATCATCTTCTCCTTCTTCAGAGAGTTCTTCTTCAGGGCCTGCTTCCTGTGGCACTTCCTGTACTGACCGTGGGACTCGCTGTGCATTACCTCCATTCTCATTCACAGTGTCCTGAATACTCTGCATGTTCTGCTCAATGTTCTGTGCAAGCTTATTGGAAATTGCCTCTCCCCAAAATGACATGAGGTATTTTCGTCTAACTGGTGACATTGAGGGCAAATCTTGCCAAGTGTCCCCTTCAGCGATGCCAAAGTTTGGAGGAAGAAGTACATCAAAACCTGGTCTGAACACACTGTTTACAAACACTGACTGTACTATCATAGCCCGACCAGTGTTAACATCTGTAAAGAACTCCTTGCTCCATGGGCTCCTGGCTAGATTAAGAATAATATGATTCCTACCATCACCATGCCAGTGAGGCAGATTGTGAAGCTGTCTCTCGAAATGGGCTCTATCTACAAGTTGATCTTCTGCTATTTCTCCCACTAACACAACAAACAGGCAAGCAGACATAGGATCTGTTGTCACATATACACTTTTTTGAAAACTATTCCTGAAAGAAGACTGAACAAAGTCTACAATTTTGTGAGATCCAAATAAACTGTCATCAGGATTATAAACAAATACTGGAAATCCTGACACTAGTGAACATGATGTGTAGTCAAAACATGAATGCATTCTGCAGGACTTGGATGACAAAGGCAATGGAATGTTCTCACTTGGGTCGGCCTCCATCAGGATCCTCTGTGGTGCCTTGATGTTGGGAATATACTGCATTATTGTCTCCTCCTTCTCCATGCGCAGCTGATCCAAGGCGATTTTCAGTTGGCTCACCTCTTTGTTTATCGTTTCATATTGGGATTTTAAGGTGTCAATATGAGTTGTATAACCTGAAACTTCAGCTTGCAGTTTCTGTCTCTTGCTTTCTAAATCACGCAGTTCATTATTAACAGATGCTTTGATACGACGCAGTTCTTCAATTTGATGTTTTAGCTCTGAGCTTTTGCTTAAATCAATATCACTGTCTGGGTAGTCCAACTTAGTCCTTGACCGGTGTATAGGGTGGTCAATGTCCCCAGCAATGTTGGAAAGGTAGTAATGGCCGACCAGCGGCACCGTTATAAAAAAGACATAAAAACACCAAAATACACTTTGAAGTAACCATGTGCCGTAAACACACACACACTCGACCACGCAGCCAAGTAGCTCCGGAACGTTCTGCTTTCATTTTGATTGCAGAATTTCAAATCATAAATGTAAAACTTGATATAAAACTTTTAAACATGGCATTAAAACTTAAATGTATCTAAAAAGCAGGATGTCTAAAATTATATGAAAAATAAAATTGTTATTCACATACTTCAGAGTCAATTTTTCACAAAGTAGTTATTCCACATATGGCTCAGGTGTCCCGGTGAAGTTACTCATCCACAAAACTTCAAACAACTACTCTAGAACATGGAATATAGAAAATATGTGCATGAAAACACTCCGCTTGTCACAAATCCACATGCTGGAATAAAAACTGTGGTTGGAATCAGTTGTTTTATCTTAGGCTGCTGCAGTGAAGAGACTATCTAGTCATTTTGTACAAACTTCATTCAGCCAATGCACAGGTGGGAGTCCAGCCCTAACTTCCAACTTGCCACAGTATCTCTGAAGCAGGTTATCACGTCACCTGTTGTGTAACAACAATCAGGTTGACAACAACAGCACCAAATGTTCTCCTGTGTGGCAAACAACAACTGTTCTGTCATGGATTGATGGTCAACATTCACTGTTACCCTTTGGATGAGGCGTAATGCTGGTATCTCCTGGAGATGGTTGCAGCACGGGTGAAGACTACCACACTGTGAGGAGGAAGAGTATGATAGCGACTACATCCAGCTGAGAGGCAGAGGGTATTATGTCTGTGTACACTGGATACAGAAGGAGGCTGACATGCAGCCTATATCAGCTTCCACTGCCTGCCTCTCTCTCTGATTCAATTACCCTGGCCGTTCACTAACTACATTCTTTCAAGCATTTCCCCACATTTCCACCATCCCAGGAAGCGATTATTATAAATCAGGTCACAATCCTTCTCTCAGCTTGCCCTGTTATGCAATTATATCCTCCCCCCTTCTGGCTGGCTGTTCCTTTATCCTCCTTGTACTTCAACTTCCATTTCTGTATTTGATTACTTTCATTCTGTCAATATCCTTCATAACCAGTAATGAAATCTCATCCTTGCAATATGCCTCATATCAAAGATATATGATCACATATCAAACAAATGTCTTACGCAATGTCAAGTTTTTCACGATAATCAAATAAATAAAACCTTGCACTTTTAACAAAGAACTGTTGTTTCAGATAAGCAAAATAAGATGCAGCATAAGTTCACAGTGAAATCTCTTGTGTTTATAAGCTTCCTATATCCTTTGCCCGAAGCATGAAATATCTCCACTTTCAGCTGATGGAGACTAGAGAATTCTGGGAATGAGGTTATCCATCACAATTTCACATCTAGTCATTCCTCACACAAGACGATTGTCAGTCTGTGTCTCATACACCAAATATTAATTCCACATCCATGACATTGATATCTACATGAAACACTGCAGCCCTAACCAGGGTTCTCTCTATGTGGATCAGTTGAGAGTTGCAGGAAATTCAGCGGTGGGAAGCCAACTTCCCCCTTGTCGTTACTTTCCCCCCAGGTTGCTAGGGAGGGGATAGCTTGGCAACTGATCACGTCTTGTCAATCCATGAGGCAATCTGGAACAGAAAGGGTTTTGTCAGAAAATAAATATGTTCGCAGTGACTGACAATCTATGCAGTGGAACAAAAATATTGCTTGATGGTAGCTCAACAGACAATCAGTGGGCAGCTAGCCTGTGAACATCGGGGAGTGTTGGTGTCTAATGGATAGGTCCACCATTTATCATGATTACTCTGCTACAGGGAGCAGATGCTTCGGAATGCTTTGTCAAAACTGTCAATTGAAGAAAACATCAAAGGTTGGTTTTTTTCTGATTTAACCAAGAATGTCAGTTTGAAGAAAACAAATTGAATTTCAATTATTAGCTCAAGAATAGCACAAACACATCTCCTCTTTTTTTTAAGTTATCACATGAATGACCTCAACAAGAATTTGCCAGACTTCATCTGCCACTGACTGTGATTGTAATGTCAATATGTCTGATTGTAATGTCAATATGTCATCATGTTAAATTAAAAACTATAAAATAATGGGAAAAATATGAGATATTGAAAATTAAAGCTTTTAACAGGGTTGAACATGAGACACAAACAGCCTAAATAGCATGCACTTAATGGATTCTATTTTTACAAAAACAGCATAGATCAACACTGATGTGATAAGGCTTTATCTAATATGTTTGACAAACATTTACAGGCAATGTACAGGAACAACCACTTTCCAAAATCACAATACAAGCTGGTATGTGACAGATTTTTTCCAGATGGAAAAGTAGTTGATTTAAGAGTTCCAAATCAATAAATGGATAGATCTTGCTCTAACACTTTTTTTTCATGTGAAGAGTTTTAATACAATTTGTATGACATCCTGAATCTATCAGACATGGATCAAGTGCCTTTGACAACTTGGCTTTGATCCAAAGTACGACCTCACAGCCCCTCCCCTCCAAGGGTCTCCCCCAACTATTACGCTCCCCTTCGGTCTCTACACTCACTCATGTGTTATTACGGAGATCGTGTTGCTGGGCCTAAGGCAGAGCCATACAAAAAACAGAACCTGCTGTAAAAGTTATCTACTCAAACAATACAGCTCCATCTATACAGCTGTGGTTTATAGTCAGATCAAACACAGTTGTGACACTTCTCCAATATCCACATTCAGGTAGAACGTACGATTTATCGTCATATCATGCAAGCTGCCACATCTTCAAAGTAGGGGTGTCATGATTCACTTGTTGTATTGCAAACTGATACCATTTCAGATTACACGAACCTATCTATCTATTCCTGTTTGAATTGTGTAATGAATATGTACACGTTTTGCAGCAACCAATTCCAATACTACTGCATTTATTTACATTACAATGCTGCACCTCCTACCATGAAATATATTGCAAAATCTGCATGATACTTTCAGAACAATTCTAAAATCACCAGTAGGGGTTGATAAAACTGCTTGCATGGCAGCCATGTCATATTGTAAGCCCACTTCATGGAACATCTCACATCTCCATTTTAAAAAACAAACACTTTGGTTAATCAGTGACACGAAGCTTGCCACCTTTCTCCTAACTCCATTCACATAGATAGGAAATGGTTTCTGCTGTTTAATATTTTGGCAATAAACACACAGGAAAATGGAAGTACATCAGTATGTTGTCATCAGTACGGCAAGAAAACATGGCAAGCCACAAATTACTGTTTTTATCTAAGCCGCATGTCTGGAAGTTTGAAGGTTATCTCATGGACGTCACTGTAGGTAACTATCATTTAATTGCAGTGCAAGGTGAATAAACATCAAGATTACTTTAGGGAATGTTGAAGGGTATCATTGTCAAGTTTACTATCCATAAACTTCTTAACCTTCTGGATTCACAATCTTTGAGTTTCAAACACTGACAATGAACACTGTAGCTTTGGGGATGCAACATAACAGAATGAGAAGCTGCAAAATGATACCAGTTCTGTTCAGATCACAGTGTCCATGTCTGAACTTCAAGTAAATGTTGGCTACTCAGCTTCTAGCAGCAACACAAACTTGTTAATAGCCCATCCTTCAAAAACTCTACTTCTATACATTCAGCTAAAAAGAACACCTTCAAACAGTTGCCAGACAATTTGTAGTTGTGGAGAATGTTTACCAGCATATATGTATCATCACTTGTGAGCCCGGTGAGGCATCAAGCCAGTTAAGAGAGAGAAATGGTCGGACCTACCTACACAAACAAGCACCTCATTAAACAACAACCCAAGTTGTGAAAAGATAACACATGACTGGTGCTCTCATCGCAAACCGCCTTCAGCAAGGTATCGATTACCTTCACTGACATTCTTCCATTGAAAATAAACTACAGTCTGCTGAATGAGGCTGATGTCACAAGAAATTATGTGTCTTAGAATTATCATGCTTAACTTAGTATATATCACACACAAATAAATTGTCATTATTGTAAAACTGGTGTGATGCAAGCTTTTTTAATGAAGAGATATAGTTTATAATAGCACTGATCTGTTAGACAGATACAACAGAGTCAAAACAAATGCTATTTGCTGTGTAAGTTACATCCCTTAGATGTGATAGGATCTGATGATCATGGGTTTGAATCCCATACTAATCAACCCTAATCATGATCCTAGTTATTTTGTCACATGGCTTTCAGCACAGTGGTAAACATCCATTTTTCCCGCCACGTTCAGCCATCCTTGAATGGCTTTGAAGTTAGACACATATCTGGTCACGCTTATCTTAAAAGAGAATAAAGTTGGAAAATGTATAAAATTAATATTGAATTAATATTGCATTAATATGAAATCAATTTTAATTCAATATTAATTTCAGGTTAATATTGTATTATTTCCAACACTGGTAATTCAAAAGACATAATACTCAGACCTACCCCAATCTTGTACATGGTTTCATTATGAAAAAGACTAACTATTGCCTGCATGCTAAACGTTTCATGAATGTAGTTACCAATATAGTTGTTCTTTCTCATTTCTTTAGAACACATGAAATTCATCTTCAATTAAAGACTGGCCCATTGATTTGCAATATAGAAATAATCTTTCATTTCACCTACAATATAATTACTACACCTGAAATTAGAGATAATAATTCTTAAGTGTGTCAAGATATCAAAGGCATCTTTCAACATTTAACACAGCCTTCTGTTCTTTATAGAATACACACTTTGATGAATCATTAACTGATGAATACCATGACTGTTGTAAATTATCACCTAATCTCTGCTTAAATGAATACCAAAACTCCCTGACTTAACCAAACATAACCAAAACCATATTGAGAGTGTTTGCCTGACTTTTGATGCCGAAGTAATATGTCCTACATCCTCCACAGATCTTAACATTAGGTAACACCCGTGTGGAAGCCTGTTTGGGGGCAAGTCTACACCAGTATTTGACTACCCATGACATGTAAGCATATTTTATGTTGAGTCTGCCACACTCACCTGGTGAGGAACCCAAATATTATATGCTGTTCTCTTCACTTCAGGTAT